TATGACATTAACACATACAGAAAGCACAACAATATTGACTTTTGTTTTATTTATTCCATAAAAAAATGTTGACGTCATTTTAAAGCATTGTTACGTAAACGCAACGGATAGAGATATTGCAATTTTGTAAACGCCACTGTTTTTAGTTTGATTTAGCACATTACAAACCTCTTTTTTTATTGTAAGGTAAGATATATTTTTTAACGGAGTTTGATAGATTATTAAATTACGATTCCAATAATATATACAATACTTGGGTTTTTTATTTCACTGTCAGTTGATAAAAAATTTGTAAACATAAAAAAAATAAAATTGGCTCAAATAAAGCACTCATACTTTATTTTGTAAGCAAAAAGATCTGTTTCAAAAGCTTCAAGTTTCAAATTATTGTACCATATGTTCGAAGTTTATAATTTTTTTTATCAAAATGAAAATGAAATAAATATCTAAGTAGTTATTGTATATCATGTAACAAAATTCGTTAAAAAAATATACGTTGCAAAAAAATATAAGTATGCGTCATGACACCGTTAAGCTTTCCCCTTTAAGTTAAAAACAATAACGTTCACAAAATTGTAAACTCTCTATTCCACGCCAAATCGACCACTTTTTATAAATTTTTATATTTTTTCTACCTCACTGAAGACGTTTCTGAGAATTTTTAAATTTTTTTTACCCAGCCAAAAAAAATTATTAATATTTTCAAAAAATGGCTCTTTTTTCAAAAAATTGTAACTTCTTCAAAAATTGAGTTATCGCGACATTTTTTTTCAAAATATTTGTCTTCAAATTTACTTTTCATAAAAAAGTTGAAAAAATAATGATGTGAGAAATAGGAGTGAAAATAGGAGTGAGCCGATTTTGCGTTCAATTTTTTTTTTCATACTTAATTTATAACCTTACCTTATGATTTATGATTTTCACGATTAATAAGATTAAAAAGGGATTTTTTAAATGTTTATAGTTTGCTCAATAAGCATTTAAAAAATCGATTCTTAATCTTGGTCTGAGCATTTTTTTTAATTCGCATCGATTTTTGAAGTCTTCTTGAAAATTCTTAGTTCAGAGTTCTTGCATTTTTTAATTTTTTGTTGTCGATTTTTCAGTTTCTCGATTTTTATTTCGTCAGTTTTTTCGGGTTTCAATGTTATAATTTTTATATTTGATAGTTTCTCGTTTTTGAGATTTTTTCATTTTAAGATATTTTTATTTTTTGAATTTTCAATTGTATTTTTTTATTTACTGATTGCTGATTTTTTCGTTATCCGATTTTTTACTTTCGCTATTTCTTCGGTATTTCAATTTTTTTATTGTTCAATTTTTTTTTCAATTTTTCAGTTTTCGATTTTTTAATTTTACAGTTTTTCGATGTTTATTTTGACATTCTTCAACTTTTGAATTTTACAATTTGTCGATTTTTCTATTTCTAGAAAATTTTGTTTTACGTATTTTTCTATTTCTCGATTTTACAGATTCTTTTTTTTTAATTTTTCAAATTTTCAGTTGTTGTTTCAATTATCGAAGTTTTCAGTTTTTCAAGTTTTAAGATGTTTCAAGTGTCGTTTTTTCTATTGTTGATTTTCAATTTTGCAGTTGTTTAATTTTTCTGTTTTTTAAAATTTCAGATTTTTTATTTTTAAGGTTACAATTTTTCCTTTCCCAATTGTTGACCTCTTCATTATTCGTTTTCGAGTTTGTTTATTTTTGCAGTTCTTCGATTTCTCAATTTTTAAATTGTTCGGTTTTTCAATGTTTCTTTTTCCATTTTTCAATTTTTATTTTTTGATTTTTCAATTTTTCAGTTTTACAATTTTTATATTTTTTGTTTTTTTAAAATTTCACTTTTAATAAGTTTGTCCTTTTGTTGAAAATTTAAAAAACGAAAAATTGAGAAATTGAAAAATTAAAAATAAAGTACTTCCAAGTTGTTTACTTTCTTCAATTTTTTATTTTCGTTTTTTTTTATTGTTAATTTTTCGAATTTTCCGTGTTTAGTTTTTACATTTTTTGATTTTTTAGTTTTTCGATTTTCTTTATGATTTTTATTTTTCAGTAAAATTTTTGTATGTTCCAATTTTTTAATTTCCAGATATTTTAATTTTTGCGATTTCCCAAGTTACTTTTTAATTTTACCATTTTCCACCTTTTTACCATTTTTCGTTTTTCCTTTTTTCAACTTCTCAATTTTTAATTTATCCTTTTTTCAGGTTTCATCAATGTTACAAATTTTCGATTTTACGTTTTTATTTTTTTTTTCAAATTTACAATTTTGGAATTGTTTCATTTTTAAATTTCCAGATTTTTTATTTTTCACTTTTTTCAAATAATTATTATTAGGATTTTTTTCAATATACAATTCTTCGCTTTTCAATTATCCGATTTTTCAGTTTCTGTATTTTTTCAATTCTTCGATTTCTCGGTTTTTAAATTTTTCGGTTTTTCAGTGTTTCGTCTTTTCGATGTTACAATTTTTCAGTTTTTCCATGTTTCTTTTTTACAATTGCTTAATTTTTTATTTTCCGGTTTTCATTTTAAAATTTTTGGATTTTGAAATTATTTTTTTTGTATTTTTGATTGTTTAATTTATAGAAGTGTGTTTTTCGATTTTTCAATTTTTCACTTTCTCGATTTCTAATTAATCAGGGTTTTCAATTGTTTTCTCAATTATCCCATTGTTTAATTTCTAATTTTTTTCATTTTTCGAATTTCAAATTCTAAATATTTCAAATTTCATTTTTCAGTTTTTAAGTCTCATTGTTTCGGTTTTTTAAAGTTTTCTTTATTTTTTTCAATTCTTCGATTTCTCAATTTTTTGATTTTTCAATTCAATTCAAAATTTCGGTTTGAATAAATTTATCCTTTCGTTGAACAATTAAAAAATGAAAAATCGAGAAAATAAAAATTAAAAATCGAGAATTTGGAAAGGTTTATATCGAAAAACTGCAGAATTGCTTCATTTTGTCGATTTTTCGATTTCTTGATTTTTAATTAATCAGGGTTTTGATTAAATATTACAATTTTTCGATTTTTCAATTATTATCCAATTCAATTTCTTTTTTTATTATTTTTCGATTTTCCAATTTTTCGATATTTCAAGTGTCATTTTAAATTCTTTGGATTTTGAAATTAAAAATTTTCTATTTTTGATTATTTAATTTATAGAAATTTTTGTTTTTCATTTTTTCAATTTTTCAATTTCTCGATTTTTAATTAATCAGGGTTTTCAGGTTTTTATATTACTATTTCTCGATTTTCCAATAATTTTTTCAATTATCCACTTGTTTAATTTCTCATTTTTTCATTTTTCGATTTTTCAAGTTTCATTATTCAATTCTCATTTTTTCGGTTTTTTCAATTTTTTTTTATTTTTCAATTCTTCGACTAAATTTTTTGATTTTTCAATTTTATAATTTTTAGGCGTTTCAATGTTACAATTTTCTGATTATTAAATTTTAAAATTTTTCAAAATTTCGATTTGAATAAATTTGTCATTTCGTTGAACAATTAAAAAATAAAAAATCGAGAAAATAAAAATTAAAATTCGAGAATTTGAAAGGGTTTATATCGAAAAATTGCAGAATTGCTTCATTTTGTCGACTTTTCGATTTCTTGATTTTTAATTAATCAGGGTTTTGATTAAATATTACAATTTTTCGATTTTTCAATTATCCATTTCAATTTCTTATTTTTTTCATTTTTCGGCTTTTCAATTTTTCGATATTTCAAGTTTCATTTTAAAATCTATGGATTTTGAAATTAAAAATCTTTATACTTTTGACTATTTAATTTATAGAAATTTTTGTTTTTCGTTTTTTCAATTTTTCAATTTCTCGATTTTTAATTAATCAGGGTTTTCAGGTTTCTATATTACTATTTCTCGATTTTTCAATTGTTTTTTCAATTACCCACTTGTTTAATTTCTCATTTTTTCATTTTTCAATTTTAAAATTTTTCGATACTTCAAGTTTTTTTAATTTTATAATTTTTATGCGTTTCAATCTTACAATTTTCTGATTTTTAAATTTTTAATTTTTTCAAAAGTTCGGTTTGAATAAATTTGTCCTTTTGTTGAACAATTAAAAAATGAAAAATCGAGAATTTGAAAAATATTATATCGAAAAACTGCAGAATTGTTGCGTTTTGTCGATTTTTCAATTTCTCGATTTATAATTGTTGCATTTTTTAATGTTTCGGTGTTACACTTATTCGATTTTGCAAAATTTCATTTTGATTAAAATTGGAAATCAAGAACTTGAAAATTTTAAAATTGAAAAATTGCAAAATTGTTTCGTTTTTCGATTTTTTGATGTTTCAATTTCGGGATTTTTTATTTTTTCGTTTTTCCAATTTTTCATTTACCGATTTTGCAGATTTATTTTTTATTTTTCTATGTTTTTACAATTTTTCAATTTTTCGGTGTCTCGATTTTTTAGTTTCTCGATTTTCATTGTGAAATTTTTGGATTTTTATTTTAAAATTTTTGATTTTCCAATATTTTAGTTTGGGTAAATTTGTTCTTTTGCTGAAAAATAAAAAAAACACGAAATCGAAAAATTAAAAACTGACAAACAGACCAGATTTTTTTTTAAACCTTCTCAATCTTTATCCTTTAGTAATTTAATGATGTGGGTATTTTTTACCAATTTTTCGGATTTATTTTCCGAGATATGAGTCTCTAAAGAAAACAATTATCGCTGCTGGTATTGAAATAATGACTGTAAAATATAGAACATAAGTAATTCAAAAATTCAAAATAATTGCCAAACGATTGCCGTTTAATTGAACATATATTTGTAAAATTGGAGTAACTGCCACTTTATCTAAATTATAATCATTTATTTTAATATCAAGTTTTGCGCGCAGTTGCAGCTACTTATTCAATTAACTCAATAATCGATTTGGCTTTTTATGATTGCGTTATTAAGCATAAAGAAAGCTAAGTCATTTCACAGAATGTCATACACTTCAATTTTTTACGGTATGCAAAATCACTTCATTACCTGTGCAATTAACTAAAGCTGCAGCCGGAGCTCTCGTCCCTGGCATCTCGAATCCCGCGTCATCAACACACCAGCAAGAACTGACGATTTCATTGTCGCATTGTATTTGTTCAAAACCCCCCGATTTGCTGCATCTGGGCATTCTTACAGTTTTCGTATCAACTCCTAGGGCTTTGGCACGCCTCGAAGCAGCCTGACGAAGAGTCTGACATCCTATAAATGCAGTCAATTTCACGTTACCGAATAATTTTCTTATTGAAAGAATGACAAGACGTTTTTGCCGGCAACCCATCAGCTCTTTAGCGAAAACAATTTCTTGCTCGATTATGGTACAATTAGATTAGAACTAATAGGGTTGCGGGTCAACGTTTTGCGATTTCATTAATTTTTTCGTACCTGTAAAAAGCTGTTTGGTGCAGACTTTGCCGCACGGGCTCTTGCAACAAATGCTGTCTACTGAACAGTCGTCGTCTTCAGAGCATTGTTGGGCTCGGAAGGGGCACTCTGTCAACATGGGGCATTTGGCATCGGAAGACTCTGAAAATTTGGGGAAAAATGGACTTGTTAAAAAGTAGAATTTCTTTGTTCATTCCTGTTTCTAACTGCTACATCAAATTATGTGTCTAATACTTAACATAGTTATAAAACTTTTTGACACTAGAACGCAGATTACAAATCATGATCTACTTTTTTCATACTATTTTTAGGTCCTAAAAATTATTGCTTTTTGTCAAATATTCAAAATTTTCATAATTTTCCATCACTTGAAGAATATTTTCATGATTATGTTTTTCTTTCAGATTTTTTATAAACTTCTACAACCTAAGGGTCCCCAGTCGTCGTGTACAAAATTTTCAATCTTTTTTTACCTTTTCGATTTTTCAATTTTTGAATTTTTCAAATTTTGACGTTTCTAAATTCTTAGTTTTCAGATTTCTGGACTATTCTTTTCTTTTTATTTTCCCATTTTTTACCAAAGTTTCGATTTTTCCCTTCTTCAATTCTTCACTTTTTCGATTTCTCAGGATTTTGATGTTTCAATTTTTCAATTTCTCAGGATTTTGATTCTTCAATTTTTTGATTTTATAAGCTTACGATTTACCGATTTTCAGTTTTTCGTTTTTTAAACTTTAGATTTTTTAACTTTCAACTGTTTTATATTTCGGTTTCTCAATTTTTCAACTTTTCGATATTTTAATTTTTCCATTTTTAAAATTCGAGATTTTTGATTTCTCGAGTTCCGGTTCTTCTATATTTCAATTTTTCAATTTTCGGGATTTTTAAAATTTTCGACCTTCCATCTTCTTTTTAACTTTTCGATTTTTCAATTTTTGAATTTTCCAAATTTTGACGTTTCTAAATTTTCAGTTTTCCGATTTCTGAAGTAATCGTTTTTTTTTATTTTCCCATTTCTTCCCAAAGTTTCGATTTTTCACTTCTTCAATTCTTCAATTTTTCGATTTTTCAGGTTTTTGATGTTTCAATTTTTCAATTTCTCAGGATTTTGATTTTTCAATTTTTCGTTTTTTAAACTTTGGATTTTTCAATTTTCGGCTGTTTTATATTTCGATTTCTCAATTTTTCAACTTTTCGATATTTTGATTTTTCCATTTTTAAAATTCTAGATTTTTGATTTCTCTAGTTTCGGTTCTTCTATTTTTCAATTTTCGGGATTTTTAAAATTTTCGACTTTCCATCTTTTTTTTTAGCTTTTCGATTTTTCAATTTTTGAATTTTTTAAATGTTAACGTTTCTAAATTTTCAGTTTTCCGATTTCTGAAGTAATCTTTTTTTTTATTTTCCCATTTATTCCCAAAGTTTCGATTTTTCAAGTCTTCAATTCTTCAATTTTTCGATTTTTCAGGTTTTTGATGTTTCAATTTTTCAATTTCTCAGGATTTTGATTTTTCAATTTTTTTATTATACAAGCTGGATTTTGGAATTTCAGTTTTTCGTTATTTAAACTTTAGATTTTTCAATTTTCGGCTGTTTTATATTTCGATTTCTCAATTTTTCAACTTTTCGATATTTTGATTTTTCCATTTTTAAAATTCTAGATTTTTGATTTCTCTAGTTTCGGTTCTTCTATTTTTCAATTTTCGGGATTTTTAAAATTATCGACTTTCCATCTTTTTTTTAACTTTTCGATTTTTCAATTTTTGAATTTTTCAAATTTTGACGTTTCTAAATTTTCAGTTTTCCGATTTCTGAAGTAATGTTTTTGTTATTTTCCCATTTCTTCCCAAAGTTTCGATTTTTTAGTTCTTCAATTCTTCAATTTTTCGATTTTTCAGATTTTTGATATTTCAATTTTTCAGTTTCTCAGGATTTTGATTTTTCAATTTTTTGATTTAATAAGCTTACGATTTTTCGACTTCTGGATTTCCCGATTTTCAGTTTTTTGTTTTTTAAACTTTAGATTTTTCAATTTTCGGCTGTTTTATATTTCGAAATGTCAATTTTTCAACTAATCGATATTTTAATTTATCCATTTTTAAAATTCTAGATTTTTGATTTCTCGAGTTTAGGTTCTTCTATATTTCAATTTTTTAATTTTCGGGATTTTCAAATTTCGATTTTCCACCTTTTTTTAACTTTTCGATTTTTCAATATTTGAATTTTTCAAATTTTGACGTTTCTAAATTTTCAGTTTTCCGATTTCTGAAGTAATCTTTTTTTTTTATTTTCCCATTTATTCCCAAAGTATCGATTTTTCACTTCTTCAATTCTTCAATTTTTCAATTTCTCAAGATTTTAATTTTTCAATTTTTTGATTTTATAAGCAGCTGGATTTTCCGATTTTCAGTTTTTCGTTTTTTAAACTTTAGATTTTTCATTTTTCGGCTGTTTTATATTTCAATTTCTCAATTTTTCAACTTTTCAATATTTTAATTTTTCCATTTTTTAAATTCTAAATTTTTGGTTTCTCGAGTTTCGGTTCTTCTGTATTTACAATTTTTCAATTTTCAGGATTTTTTAAATTTTCAATTTTCCATCTTTTTTTAACTTTTCGATTTTTGAATTTTTGAATTTTTCAAATTTTGACGTTTCTAAATTTTCAGTTTTCCGATTTCTGAAGTAATATTTTTTTTATTTTCCCATTTCTTCCCAAAGTTTAGATTTTTCGCTTCTTCAATTCTTCAATTTTTCGATTTTTCGATTTTTCAGGTTTTTGATATTTCAATTTTTCAGTTTCTCAGGATGTTGATTTTTCAATTTTTTGATTTGATAAGCTTACGATTTTTCGACTTCTGGATTTCCCGATTTTCAGTTTTTCATTTTTTAAACTTAAGATTTTTCAATTTTCGGCTGTTTTATATTTCGATTTCTCAATTTTTCAACTTTTCGATATTTTAATTTTTCCATTTTTCAAATTCTAGATTTTTGATTTCTCGAGTTTTCGGTACTTCTACATTTTAATTTTTCAATTTTCGGGATTTTTAAAATTTTTAACTTTCCATCTTTTTTTAACTTTTCGATTTTTCAATTTTTGAATTTTTCAAATTTTGATGTTTCTAAATTTTTAGTTTTCCGATTTCTGAAGTAATCTTTTTTTTCCCATTTCGTCTCAAAGTTTCGATTTCTCACTTCTTCGATTCTTCACTTTTTCGATTTTTCAGGTTTTTCATGTTTCAATTTTTAATTTCTCAGGATTTTGATTTTTCAATTTTTTGATGTTATAAGTTTATGATTTTTCGACTTCTGGATTCCCCGATTTTCAGTTTTTCGTTTTTTAAACTTTCGATTTTTCAATGATCGGTTGTTTTATATTTCGATTTCTCAATTTTTCAACTTTTCGATATTTTAGTTTTTCCAGTTTCAAAATTCTAGATTTTTGATTTCTCGAGTTTCGGTTCTTCTATATTTCAATTTTTCAATTTTCGGGATTTTTAAAATTTTCGATTTTCCATCTTTTTTTTAACTTTTCGATTTTTCAATGTTTGAATTTTTCAAATCTTGACGTTTCTAAATTTTCAGTTTTCCGATTTCTGAAGTAATCTTTTTTTTGTGTTCCCATTTCTTCCCAGTTTCGATTTTTCCCTTCTTCACTTCTTCAATTTTTCGATTTTTCAAGTTTTTGATGTTTCAATTTTTCAATTTCTCAGGATTTTGATTTTTCAATTTTTTGAGTTTATAAGCTGGATTTCCGATTTTCAGTTTTTCGTTTTTTAATCTTTAGATTTTTCAATTTTCGGCTGTTTTATATTTTGATTTCTCAATTTTTGAACTTTTCGATATTTAAATTTTTCCATTTTTAAAATTCTAGATTTTTGATTTCTCGAGTTTCGGTTCTTCCATATTTCAATTTTTCAATTTTCGGGATTTTTAAAATTTTCTACTTTCCATCTTTTTTTTTAACTTTTAGGTTTTTCAATTTTTGAATTTTTCAAATTTTGACGTTTCTAAATTTTCAGTTTTCCGATTTCTGAAGTAATCTTTTTTTTTTATTTTCCCATTTCTTCCCAAAGTTTCGATTTTTCGCCTCTTCAATTCTTCAATTTTTCGATTTTTCAGATTTTTGATGTTTCAATTTTTCAGTTTCTCAGGATTTTCATTTTTCAATTTTTTGATTTTATAAGCTGGATTTTCTGATTTTCAGTTTTTCGTTTTTTAAACTTTAGATTTTTCAATTTTCGGCTGTTTTATATTTCGATTTCTCAATTTTTCAACTTTTCGATATATTAATTTTTCCATTTTTAAAATTCTAGATTTTTGATTTTTCGAATTTCGGTTCTTCTATATTTCAATTTTTCAATTTGCGGGATTTTTAAAGTTTTCGACTTTCCATCTTTTTTTAACTTTTCGTTTTTTCAGTTTTTGAATTTTTCAAATTTTGACATTTCTAAATTTTCAGTTTTCAGATTTCTGAAATAATCTTTTTTTTAATTTTCCCATTTCTTGTTAAAGTTTCGATTTTTCCCTTCTTAAGTTCTTCAATTTTTCGATTTTTCAGGTTTTTGATGTCTCAATTTTCCAATTTCTCAGGATTTTAATTTTTCAATTTTTTGATTCTATAAGCTGGATTTTCCGATTTTCAGTTTCTCGTTTTTTAAACTTTAGATTTTTCAATTTTCGGTTGTTCTGTATTTTGATTTCTCAATTTTTCAACTTTCTGATATTTTAATTTTTCCATTTTTAAAATTCTAGATTTTTGATTTCTCGAGTTTGGGTTCTTCTATATTTTAATTTTGCAATTTTCGGGATTTTTAAAATTTTCGATTTTCCATCTTTTTTTAACTTTCCGATTTTTCAATTTGTAAATTTTTCAAATTTTGACGTTTCTAAATTTTCAGTTTTCCGATTTCTGAAATAATTTTTTTTTATTTTCCCATTTGTTCCCAAAGTTTCGATTTTTTCCTTCTTCAATTCTTCAATTTTTCGATTTTTCAGGTAATTCTGATGTTTCAATTTTTAATTTCTCGGGAATTTGATTTTTCAATTTTCCGATTTTCAGTTTTTAATTTTTTAAACTTTAGATTTTTCAATTTTCGGCTGTTTTATATTTCGATCTCTCAATTTTTCAACTTATCGATATT